ATCCACACAATGGATATTAATTAGCCAGAGACAAAAGGCCACACAGTCTATGACTCCACTGATATGAAATGCCCAGAACAGGCAAATCCAGAGAGAAAGGAAGCAGATTAGTGTTTGCCAGGGGTGGGATGATTGCTAATAGGGAAGACGGTGTTTCTTTTGGGTGATGAAAGTGGTCTAAATTCTGATCATGGCAATGGCCACACAACTCTGTGAATATACTAAAAAATCAATATACTGGGCACACTTCATTATTATTATTATTATTATTGAGATGAAGTCTCGCTCTGTTGCCCAGGCTGGAGTGCAGAGGCAAGATCTTGGCTCAATGCAACCTCCGCCTCCCAGATTCAAGCAATTTTCCTGCCTCACCCTCCCAAGTAGCTGGGATTACAGGTGTGCACCACCACGCCCGACTAATTTTTGTATTTTTAGTAGAGACAGGGTTTTGCCATGTTGGCCAGGTTGGTCTCCAACTCCTGAGCTCAGGTCCTCAAAGGGCTGAGATTACAGGCGTGAGCCACCGCTCCCAGCCATTACATTGGACAGACTTTAAATGGGCAAGTTGTATGGTATGGTATGGGAACCTCAATAAATATATTAAAGACATAAGATGAAAAGGAAAGGGCTGCCTGCTAGGCTCAGGAGAGAGTGGGGACAGGAGAACTGGGTGTGGGAGATAGTGGAGGAGGTGGGATGGAAGACATTTCAGGAGCGACATGGATTAAAAGGGGACTGAACCAGCCGGGCGCTGTGGCTCACACCTGTAATCCCAGCACTTTGGGAGGCTGAGGCAGGCGGATCACGAGGTCAGGAAATTGAGACCATCCTGGCTAACATGGTGAAAACCCCGTCTCTACTAAAAAATACAAAAAATGAGCCGGGCGTAGTGGCGGGCACGTGTAGTCCCAGCTACTCTGGAGGCTGAGGCAGGAGAATGGCATGAACCCACGAGGCAGAGCTTGCAGTGAGCCGAGATCGTGCCACTGCACTCCAGCCTGGGTGACAGAGAGAGACTCTGTCTCAAAAATAATAATAATAAATAACAAAAAGCGGCCTGAGCCAGCCCATCATGTCCTGGGATGCTGGCAGTGAGTGAATGGCTGACCCAGGCAGACAGAGGGGAGTGGGTGCCAGGCTTGGGGTCACCAGGCCTTGGACAGGTGCAGAGAAGGTGGGTCTGGTGGGAGGGCCACTGTGGACCATGGCTCAGGAGAGGCAGGGGAGGAGGACAGAGGAGGGAGATGAGGAGGGGCCTGTGTACTAGCTCTTTTTCTGCAGAGCAGACTTCTTCTCAGAGAGGTCCTCCTGGCACATCCTGGCTTAAGTGGGCCCAGGTTATCCCAGGTCTCACCAACAACTAGAAATCCTGGCATGATGTGTTGCATCTCTTCAGCTCAGCTGTGAGGGCTTGGGGACAGGGCCCGGCACAATGTGCTCACTCAACAATGAAAGCAGGGTCATAAACAAAGAGCACACCAGCACAGTGGGATCCTCCTCACTCCTCTGACGGGAAAGGCTGGGGTGGGGGTGTATGTGCTGTAACAAAAGTCCACACCATTAGGAGACACAACCCCAGGCAGTGGTATTGAGGGCACTGTCTGGCACAGGGGGGCCACTGTGGTGAACTGGGAGAGGACCAGGGTATTTATACAAAAATGAGATGCTGGAAGTGGGGAGCTCAGGGAGCCTCCAGGGCTGCGGTCTTTCTGTGGCCTGGTCTGGCTGCAGGTCACACAGGTGCACATTTGGAAAGAAATCTTGTGCTGCATACCTGAAGGGGTGGGGTAGCCAGGGTTACACCTGAGAAGAAGGAGACTCAGCCAGGCGCAATGGCTCATGCCTGTAATACCAGCACTTTGGGGGGCTGAGGCAGGGGGAGCACCTGAGGTCAAGAGTTTGAGACCAGCCTGGCCTACATGGCGAAACCCTGTCTCTACTAAAAAAAAAAAAAAAAAAGTAGCCAGGCGTGGTGGCGTACACCTGTAATCCCAGCTACTAGGGAGGCCGAGGGAGGAGAATCACTTGAACCTGGGAGGCAGAGGTTGCAGTGAGCTGAGATCGTGCCACTGCACTCCAGCCTGAGCAACAGAGCAAGACTTGGTCTAAAAAAAAAACACACAAAACAAACAAACAAACAAAAAACAAAAAACACCAGGCGTGGTGGGTCATGCCTGCAAAATGAGCACTTTGGGAGGCCAAGGTGGGTGGATCACCTGAGGTCAGGAGTTCGAGACCAGCCTGACCAATATGGTGAAACCCCGTTTCTACTAAAAATACAAAAATTAGTCGGGTGTAGTAGCGTCCAACTGTAGTCCCAGCTACTCAGGAGGCTGAGAAAGGAGAATTGCTTGAACCCAGGAGGTGGAGGTTGCAGTGAGCCAAGATCAGGCCACTGCACTCTAGCCTGGGTGACAGAATGAGACTGTCTCAAAAAAATAAAAATAAAAAAAGAAGAGAAAAGAAAAAAGAAAAATGAGGAAACCCAGAATGCATTATATTCCTCCAATGTGTTCTGGGACAGAACTAACGGGCCGGATCTAGCCTGAAGCCTATTTTTGTTTTTTTTAAATTTTTGGTAGAGGTGGGGGTCTCACTATGTTGCCCCGGCTGGTCGCAAACTCCTGGGCTCAAGTCATCCTCTGGCCTCAACCTCCCAAAGTGTGGGGATTATAGGTATGAGACACCTGGCTCAGAGGCCCTCTGTTTTTGTATAGCCCCCAGGCTAAGAACACTTCCCGTTTGTAAATGGTTGTCTCAGTAACTGAAACTTTCTGGCCAGCCAAACCCAGAATACTTGTCATCTGTCCCTTTTATAGAAAAAGTCTGCCGGCCAGGCGCTGTGGCTCACGCCTGTAATCCCAGCACTTTGGGAGACCAAGGCGGGTGGATCATGAGGTCAGGAGATCGAGACCATCCTGGCTAACATGGTGAAACTCCGTCTCTACTAAAAATGCAAAAAATTAGTCGGGCGTGGTGGCGGGCGCCTGTAGTACCAGCTACTTGGGAGGCTGAGGCAGGAGAATGGCGTGAACCCGGGAGGCGGAGCTTGCAGTGAGCCGAGATTGCGCCACTGCACTCCAGCCTGGGCAACAGAGCGAGACTCCATCTCAAAAAAAAAAAAAAGAAAAAGTCTGCCGATCTCAGTTCTTGGATACAAGAAAAACAAGAGGAGGCTGGCCACGGTGGCTCAAGCCTGTAATTCCAGCACTTTGGGAGGCTGAAGCTGGAGGATCACTTGAGCCCAGGAGTTTGAGACCAGCCTGGTCAACATAGCTGCACCCTTGTCTCTACAAAAAGTAGAAATAAAAAATTAAAAACCGCCGGGAGCCGTGGCTCACGCCTGTAATCCCAGCACTTTGGGAGGCCAAGGCGGGCGGATCACCAGGTCAGGAGATCGAGACCATCCTGGCTCACACGATAAAACCCCATCTCTACTAAAAATACAAAAAATTAGCCGGGCGTGGTGGCGGGCACCTGTAGTGCCAGTTACTTGGGAGGCTGAGGCATGAACCCGGGAGGCGGAGCTTGCAGTGAACCGAAATCACGCCACTGCACTCCAGCCTGGGCAACAGACCGAGACTCCATCTTATTAAAAAAACAAAAACAAAAAAAGACAAAAAACCAAGAAGCAGCTGGGGAGGGCTTTTCACCTCACATTGACTTTTCTACTATCTGAATTATTACATTTTTAATTACTATGTTCATTTTTTGTATGTGTTAAAATTGAGGCATAATGTGCATAACATGTAATTTAAATGTAAAGTTTAATTTGTTAAGAGACATGCATTCTGCTGAGCCCGGTGGCTCATGCCTATAGTCCCATAACTTTGGAAAGCTGAGGTGAGTGGATCACTTGAGCCCAGGAGTTCAAGACCAGCCTGCGCAAGATGGCAAGACCCCATCTCTACAGAAAATACAGAAAGCTGGGCGCAGGCTTATAATCCCAGCTGCTTGGGAGGCTGAGGTGGGAGGATGGCTTGAGCCCAGGAGGCAGAGGTTGCCAAGAGATCACTCCAGCCTGGGCAACAGAACCATACCCTGTCTTAAAAAAAAAAAAAAAAAAAAAAGGAATGTATGTATTCACCCTTAAATTACGTTTAAAAGTTTGTATTTGTCCGTTAACCCTGGGGACTGAGTATGGGTGCCTTTCAAGTCTTTTTCATTTTTCTGTGTTGGGCCCCATAACAAAATTTAACGTGTTACTTAAGACATTTGAAAACTTTACGACGGGCATGGTGGCTCACGCCTGTAATCCTACCACTTTGGGAGGCCGAGGTGGGCCGATCATCTGAGGTTGGGAGTTGGAGACCACCCTGACCAACGTGGAGAAACCCCATCTCTACTAAAAATACAAAATTAGCCAGGCGTGGTGGCACATGCCTGTAATCCCAGCTACTTGGGAGGCTGAGGCAAGAGAATTGCTTGAACCCAGGAGGCAGAGGTTGCGGTGAGCCGAGATGGCGCCATTGCACTCCAGTCTGGGCAACAAGACCAAAACTCCGTCTCAAAAAAAAAATACATAAATGAAAACAATTTGAAAACTTTAAGAATACGGATTCCTGGGACACCATTGAGGCGGGTGCTGCCTGCAGGGAACCACTTTATAGAACATCTTGTAAATTCCCTCCAAGTTCCAGGTTGCGGCCTCAGCCTTGCCTTGGGGAGCCGTGGCGTGGCCTCTTTTGGGCCTCAGTTTCCCCATCTGAGAAATCCAAGGGTGGCTGAGGGCCAGAGCGCAGACTATGCCTCAGTTTAACCCACTGTAAAATGTAAACAATTAGAGGGACCGATTTCCTGGGCTGTTACGAGAAGGAAGCGGAGCTGGGAAAGCGCTCAACAAACTGCAGCACTTGACGTTATTATAGAAGCTATGGAGGATTCTCGAGCTCAGCCTCCGGTCTCACCGCCAGGGAAACTGAGGCCCGCTTGTGTCCCCGGAACCCCGCCCCCGAGCCCCGAGTACCCACTCTGAGACCCCGGCGCAGAGTGATACTGACCCGACAGTCCTCGACGCGGCAAGTTTCGTTTGTAGTCGATGGGCCCATAGCCCCCCGGCGGGGGCATGTCCTGCTTCACCTTCGACATCTCCATGCTCGCAGTATTCCACACTTCCGGTCCCAGGCGGAAGTGACATACTGCCACCGCCATGATGAGTGTGGCGGAAGCACTCGAGTTGGTCCGCGGAAGCACTCGAGTTGGTCCGCCGCAGCCCTGGGAAGCCTCGGACACTAGTGTAACTACGCGACAGCGCAGGAAAGCTCCGGCGGCGGACCTTGGGTCGGAATACGCTGCCAGGCTGTAGCTGAGGAGGCTTTATTCCCTCTTTCTCCCAGACAGGGTGTGAATTGCCTTGGTTCTTGCATTAAAGGCCCTCGCGTTCGCCTTGCCTCTGGGGTGTTGCGCAGGCCAGTCAGAAACTCCGAGCGCCCGAGGGAGCCAGGGGCCCCAGTTAAGGCCCCTTTTCCCGTTTTCGCTCCGTCTAGGGACTCTACGGGAAGCCCAGGGCTCCACGTAGTCACGGGCTGGGTACGTGATGTTGGGGAGCAGCTGCTGCTCGAATTCGGACTCACCCCAATCCCCGGAACGGATGCTGCTCCCTGGTGGTGGTGGGTATCCCTTGCTAGTGGCCTCTCATCGGAAACTGACCATTCAAGGTGATTATGAGTCACAAAGCAGGGAGGCTAGGGTGGCCCCGGGGCGGGGTCCTGGACCCCCACCCTAAGGCGGAGTGACGCCCGCGGTCACTTCACAAGGCAAAAATTGTTACGGGGCAATAAAAGGCACAACAGCGGCCAATGCCTGGCAGTGGGCACATGGGGGTGCGGGGGTGTAGGTGCCAAGCGCCATGGCTTAGACCCGAGATTGGAGTCCGGCCGCCCCCCGACAGCAGCCGCCTCCTGCTCCCCGTGCGCCCCAGGCGCCACCATGTCGGGAGACAAACTTCTGAGCGAACTCGGTTATAAGCTGGGCCGCACAATTGGAGAGGGCAGCTACTCCAAGGTGAAGGTGGCCACATCCAAGAAGTACAAGGGTACCGTGGCCATCAAGGTGGTGGACCGGCGGCGAGCGCCCCCGGACTTCGTCAACAAGTTCCTGCCGCGAGAGCTGTCCATCCTGCGGGGCGTGCGACACCCGCACATCGTGCACGTCTTCGAGTTCATCGAGGTGTGCAACGGGAAACTGTACATCGTGATGGAAGCGGCTGCCACCGACCTGCTGCAAGCTGTGCAGCGCAACGGGCGCATCCCCGGAGTGCAGGCGCGCGACCTCTTCGCGCAGATCGCCGGCGCCGTGCGCTACCTGCACGATCACCACCTGGTGCACCGCGACCTCAAGTGCGAAAACGTGCTGCTGAGCCCGGACGAGCGCCGCGTCAAGCTCACCGACTTCGGGTTCGGCCGCCAGGCCCATGGCTACCCAGACCTGAGCACCACCTACTGCGGCTCAGCCGCCTACGCGTCACCCGAGGTGCTCCTGGGCATCCCCTACGACCCCAAGAAGTATGATGTGTGGAGCATGGGCGTCGTGCTGTACGTCATGGTCACCGGGTGCATGCCCTTCGACGACTCGGACATTGCCGGCCTGCCCCGGCGCCAGAAGCGCGGCGTGCTCTACCCCGAAGGCCTCGAGCTCTCCGAGCGCTGCAAGGCCCTGATCGCCGAGTTGCTGCAGTTCAGCCCGTCCGCCAGGCCCTCGGCGGGCCACGTAGCGCGCAACTGCTGGCTGCGCACCGGGGACTCTGGCTAGAACCCGGGGTTCCAGCCATTCCTGCCCCCGAGGGCACTGGGCCAGCGCGGCGCACGCGCAAGAGGCGAGCTTAGCGGGAACATGCGAAGCCGCCGCGTGCTACTGCGCATGCGCCTTCTCCCTGCCGCTTCCCTCCCTTCCTTCCCACGGGGAAGTCGGCAGTTGACCCTGTTCGGAATCGACGTCCTCCGCCATCCCCCGCCATCCCGAGAGCTGGAGGCGCATGCGCATCCGTGAGTTCCCAGACCAGGCCCCGAGAGGGACGAGACCAGAGGGGACGGAAGCATTGCGCCTGCGCGGAACAAGCTCAGCCTCTGCGCGGAGGGCGTACCTTCCCAACCAACCATGGGTGCCGGGTTCCCGGCTGGAACCTGCAATAAACTCGCTGTTCCTCGCACCTGGCTCTAACGGTGGCCCCATTTGCAGACCAGTGGAGAAGGGATCGCTCCGTCCGGGGAAGGCGGGCGCGGGTACCCTATTTTAGTCAGGTTTGTTGAGGTTATTGCTCCAAGACCCAAAAGGGAGTCGGGAGGATTCGAACCTGGACCTTTTGGGCTCCCCAGTATGGGCCAGCTCGAAGGAGCTCTGTTGTTCGTGGGTCGTGATGGTGCTGTGATGATGGGTGGGGAAGCAAGTGGACCCCAGCGCCTCCCCGTCCACATCTTTTAAGGATGGAACAGCCAGGGGTGGGGCGAGGGTCACCTGTCTCCACGTAAAGTAGGAGTTTATAGAAAAGGAAACTGAGGCCCACATGGATGTCACTTGCCAAAAGACACAGCCAAGGGCTGGGCACGGTGGCTTACGCCTGTGACCCCAACACTTTGCGAGTCCGAGGCAGGCAGATCACTTGAGTTCAGGAATTCGAAAACAGCCTGGGCATCACAGCTGATACCTTATCTCTTGTTTTTTTGTTTTGTTTTGTTTTGTTTTGTTTTTTGAGACAGTCTCGCTCTGTCGCCTAGGCTGGAGTACAGTGGCACGATCTTGGCTCACTGCAACCTCCTCCTCCCGGGTTCAAGCGATTCTCTTACCTTAGCCTCCCAAGTAGCTGGGACTACAGGCACGTGCCCAAACACCCGGCTAATTTTTGTATTTTTAGTAGAGATGGGGTTTCACCATCTTGGCCAGACTAGTCTTGAACTCCTGACCTCCTGATCCACCCGCCTCAGCCTCTCAAAGTGTTGGGATTACAGGTCTGAGCCACTGCGCCCCCGACCCTGTCTCTAAAGAAAAAGAAAAAGTCCGGCGTGGTGGCTAACGCTTGTAATCCAAGGCGGGTGGATCACCTGAGGGCAGAAGTTCCAGACCAGCCTGGCCAACATAGTGAAACCTCATCTCTACTAAAACTACAAAAAAAAAAAAAAAAATAGCTGGGCACGGGGCAGGCACCTGTAATCTCAGCTACTCAGAGGCTAAGGCAGAAGAATCGCTTGAACCCGGGAGGTGGAGGTTGCAGTGAGCCGAGATCACGCCACTGCACTCCACCCTGGGCAACAAGAGCAAAACTCCGTCTCAAACAACAAACAAAAAAGACACAGCTGTGATTTTTTTTTTTTTTTAAACAGGGTCTCTCTTTGTTGCCCAGGTTGGAGTGGCACAATCTTGGCTCACTGCAGCCTCTACCCGGTTCAAACAATTCTCGTGCCTCTGCCTCCTGAGTAGCTGAGACTACAGGCGCAGGCCACCACGCCTGGCTAGTTTTTTGTATTTTTAGTAGAGACAGGGTTTCACCATGTTGGCCAGGCTGGTCTCAAACTCCTGACCTCAAGTGATCCACCTGCCTTGACCTCCCCAAAGTGCTGGAATTATAGGCATGAGCCAGTGCACCCGGCTTACAGCTGTGATTTGAACCCAGATCTAGCAACAGTGAGGTTGCGGGGGTAGGGGGAGATCTCCCCTGCTGTGGGTCCTTTTCCTCTCGGGAAGAGGGGGTGAGGGGGGGAGTCAGGGCAGGGCTGGGCACGATTCAGCTGGACCCACTAGCTCATTCCCTTCTCTGTTCATTCATGTAATCATGCATTTCTTGAGCACCTACTGTCTGCCAGGCCCCAGAGCTCATGGCGAAGAGACTTGGGCCCATCCCTGTCGGAAACAAGACAATTGAAAAGTCAAGTAAAATAAAAGAATGACGTGGAAATAAAATACTTGTAAGTTGTGCTAAATGCCAGGTAGAGCTGGGAGGTGTTCAAGGAGGGACTCTGGGTGGGGTGTGGTGGCTCACTCCTGTAATTCCAGAACTTTGGGAAGCTGAGGTGGGCGAATCGCTTGAGCCCAGGAGTTAAAGACCAATCTGGGCGACACAGCAAGATAGCCATCTGTATAAAAAATTTAAAAATTAGCCGGGCGTGGTGGCGTGTCTCAGCTACTTGGGTGAGGTGAGAGGATCGCCTGGGCCTGGGAGTTCAAGGCTGCAGTGAGCTATGATCATGCCACTGCACTCCAGCCTGGACCACAGAGTGAGACCCTGTCTCAGAAAAAAAAAAAAAAAAAAAGTAAAGGGACTCGGAAGCTAAGGGAAACAGTCCAGGTGTTCCCCAGGAAGAGGAGAGCTGGTGTGTTTGAGTAAGGCCAGTAAGCTTATTTGTCTGGAATAGGGAGGGAGAGAGGGAGAGGAGATGGAGAGGTAAGGAGGAAATCGAGAGAGGACCCCACAGAGCCTGGGAGTGGCTTCCATTTAGGGTATATGGGGAAATGTATTAGGTCTATTAGGAAATCCTAATCCTGCCTACCTGCATATGAGCCCCACATAGCTGCTCCTCTGGTGGGTCTCCCCATGCCCAGCCTCTGCTCACTCAGTGTCAATGGCTTTCTGGTGCCCTGGGGATGCAGTGCCAGCTCTATCTTCATCCCTCTAAATAGGGTATGGCCCTGTCCCCTTCAGTTTTGCAGATGAGGAAACCGAGGCTAAAAGAGGGGCAGTGCCTAGCCTCCAGTTTTGGCTGGACCACATCAGAGTGGAGGTAGAAAACCTAGCTCCTGAGGCCGGGCATGGTGGCTCATGCCTGTAATCCCAGCACTTTGGGAGGCGGATCACTTGAGGTCAGGAGTTCGAGTCCAGCCTGGCTAACATAGTAAAACCCCATCTCTACTAAAAATACAAAATTTAGCTAGGCATGGGTGGCTTGCACCTGTAGTCCTAGCTACTCGGGAGGCTGAGTCAGGAGAATCACTTGAACCTGGGAAGTGGAGGTTGCAGTGAGCCAAGATCCCACCAATGCACTTCAGCCTGGGCAACAGAGCAAGACTCTGCCTCAAAAAAGAAAAAGGAAAAGGAAAAGGAAAAGAAAAAGGAAAGGAAAGAAAAGAAAGGAAAGAAAGGAAAGAAAAGAAAGGAAAGAAAGGAAAGAAAAGAAAAAGAAAGAAAACCTAGCCCCCAGCCCCTCTGGTTTAGTCGAAGGGTGCCGCTCCTGATTGGGGCCATGCCTCAGACTCCCCACCTGGAAAATGGGGGCAAAACTCCATCCTTGGGGTAGTGGGCATGGCTTGGGAGTGGGCGTGGCTGGAGGACTGAGCCCAGGGCCTTCCCTAGGCTCCCACTGCATTTAGCTAAAACCCACGCCCTTGCCCCTGTCTTCCCACCCAGTCCCACCACACTGCCTTTTTTGTTCTTGATCTGCCATGCTGGCTCCTGTCTCTGAGGCTTTGCACACTCCTGGCACTTTTCCCCTCTTCAAGACTTGCCTAAAATGTCACCCCATGCCCTCCTCTCAAGGTGCTACAATATGTTTCTGTCTGGATAGTTCCTGCCACACCTCCAGGGCCCAGGGCATAGTGCATGCCCTCTACCAATGAATCTGTGGGAGCAGGGACCAGGGTCTCTGCCTGCCATGTGGCCATAGACCCAAGGCTCAATTCAGAGGACGAGATGTTAGGGATGAAGCATCAGGGATGAGGGGAGTGTCCCATTTTCTCAGCTGGAGAAGCTATTTGAGACCATGACCCAGGATTGCTCCTTGGATCTGCCCCAACTACACTGAGGAGCCTGTGCCCAATCCAGGGAAGCAGAGCCTCACGAGGGACCAAGAGCCAAGCCCAGGAGACAGCACCCCATAGGAATGTTTCTCAGACCAAGTGAGAAATGCCTGTAGCAAGCCTGTGGCTCCAGCTACACAGTAGGCTGGGGTGGGAGGATCGCCTGAGCCCCAGTTTGAGGCTGCAGTGAGCTATGATTGTGCTTTGCACTCTAGCCTGGGCAAGAGAGTGAGAGCCTATCTCAAAAATAAAAAATAATTTTTATAAGCCGGGTGCAGTGGCTCACACCTGTAATGCCAGCACTTTGGGAGGCCAAGGCTGGTGGATCACTTCAGGAGTTTGAGACCAGCCTGGCCAACATGGTGAAACCCCATCTCCACTAAAAATACAAAAATTAGCTGGGCATGGTGGTGGCGGCACCCGTAATCCCAGCTACTCAGGAGACTGAAGCAGGAGAATCGCTAGAACCTGGGAGGCGGAGGTTGCAATGAACCAAGATCATGCTACTGTACTCCAGCCTGGGGGACAGAACAAACCTGTCTCAAAAAAATCTATCATGGTCAGTACTGGGGTCTGGGACACCAGTCTAGACGTGTCACAGGTGGAGTGGGACAGGCTGGGGTTCAGTTTCTACCATGTCCTCTGCCAGCTCTGTGCCCATAAGACCAGGCACTTGGGAGCTGTGGGGAAGGTATCAGCTCCCAGGTCGGAGGCAGGGATGCTTCAAAGACAAGAAACGGGGCCAGGTGTGGTGACGCACACCTGTAATCCCAGCACTTTGGGAGGCCAAGGTGAGAGGACTGCTTGAGTCCAGGACTTCAAGACCAGCCACGGGCAACATGGCAAAATTGTGTCTTTACAAAAAATATGAAAATTAGCTGGGCGTGGTGGTGCATGCCCATAGTCCCAGGTACCGAGGAGGCTGAGATGTGAGGATCACCTGAGCCTAGGAAGGTTGAGGCTGCAGTGAGCTGAGGTCAAACCACTGCACTGCAGCCTGGGCAACAATGAGACCCTGCTGATGAGGCAAAGACGAGCAAACCCCACTGATATTTTTTTTTTGAGACGGAGTCATGGTCTGTTACCCAGGCTATACTGCAGTGGTGCAATCTTGGCTCACTGCAACCTCTGCTTCCTGGGTTCATGTGATTCTCCTGCCTCAGCCTCCCAAGTAGCTGGGATTACAGGCACCCACCACCACATCTGGCCAATTTCTGTATTTTTAGTAGAGATGGGGGTTTCACCATGTTGGCCAGGCTGGTATCGAACTCCTGACCTCAGGTGATCCACCCACCTCAGCCTCCCCAGTACCCACTGATTCTCATTCCTCTTTCCCAGCCCATGGGGTAAGTTGGCCACAAAGCTCCAGAGGAGAGGGGCTGTGGGGACTCCATCAGGCCCCAGCAGCAGGTGCACCCCGCCCTTTGCTTCTCTTATTAACAAAGGGTGATCCTCCATCTCCCTCTAACCTGCCTTGGAAGCTAGGACGAAACAATACAGAGAAGCCAGGGCAGAAGGGACAAAAGAAAAGTTCAGTTGACACATCATCCATTTATTATCCTTCAGAGTCTAAAACTTCCTCGTGATACAACGTATAGCCACCCATTCCAGCCTGCTTACTGGAACTTCTATTCCCATCTGGTGGCAAACATTTCTTTTTACATTTGTTTTACTATCAAAGATTTAGAGTCACAATAAATACAAGTGACAGCCTCCACCCCCGAAGAGCCCCCCCAATACCCTGCACTAGTGTAACCGTCTATTACACTTTAAGGATTATAAAATTGTTTGCTGTCCTTTTTTAAAAGCTCAGTCCAAGTTCTTTAGGTTAACGTCATCTGCAGCATAGCTCGGCATCAAAAACCCTATGGCAGAGCAGCAAGGATCATCCCTTCTGTGATGGCGACCCCTGCGATGAGAATATTTGTATAGAGAAGTCTTTCCCCTGCCTCTACATCCAATAGGAGAGTGGGAGCCACGGGGCCCAGTGGGGCTGCCACTGGGTCGCCCCATTCCCTCTGCCCTGAAGCTTTTGCTTCACCAAGGTCCGCGGAGTACAGGAAAGACCAGGAGCCACTAGCACTGTGGGCTGTTCCACCCTGAGAAGGGCTGCTACAGACCTCATCAGAGAAATGGTTCTTGATGTCACCGTAGAGTTCCTGGGATGAGGTCAAGACGGCCATAGCTGTGGGAGGCTCCAAGGGCACTTGGCCATTCCAAACCCTACCCCCCACCTCCACTACAACAGGCGAGGTGTGAACTCCGAGATCTCCCCAGCCCTGTCTACAGGGCAGCCGACAGAAGGAAGTTTCCAGGTGCTGTTGGAGGTTCATGTCACAGATAACAGGGGATAGTTACAATCAGTTGGGCTGGGGGCTCTCACATTCTGACGGCTTGCAGGAACCTGATCCTGGTAGGGCTCTCAAGAGAGACCAGGACCAGGCACTGGCCGGTTTTGAGGGTGTGCTTTGCTGCAGGTAGAACACCCTAAACATCAATCAATAGCTATCCTGATGAATCCAAACCCCACACCCAGAGAGGTACTTAATAATGCCTTCACCTGGAACATCATAAACGTCATCATACAACAACCCGCTTGGGGCTTATCATAGAGGTTATGCTGCAAGGAACTGAAAGGAAATAATGGGCTAGAGTGCTCGAGACAGCAGAAATGAAGCAAAGATTAAGGCATCTCACACTTTTGCCCCCTGAAATTATTTTAAAAAAAACTATATCACAGTATGTACGTTGTCCCTGATGGAATACTCCCTGGGGACCTGGGGCTGACCCTCTCCCTTTCAAGGGGCAGCAGTCCGTAAGGACGGGTTGACAGTCATCAGCCCTGAAAGGACACCTGGGCCAGGCTGGGAGAGGTCAGGAACTGGAGCTGGGGCTGGGGGCCGGCGGGTGCGGCTCGGATCTGGCCCCCTGGTCAGACCCAGCTGACCCAAGCTGCAGCACGCAGAGGTGACTTTGGCCTGGATGCCTGATCCCCAGCCACTGCATAGAACTGAGGTTGGTTCGCCAGGCAGGGCTTTCAGTGGGAAGAAGCCAGCCTGGGTGCTCCTTCCGGGAGGAGCTGGAAGATCTGGCCCCCGTCATGGAACAGAGAGGCCTAACAGCTCAGGGTCGTAGGAGACAGGTATTTATTTGCCAGGCACACAGAAAAATGCGAGGAATAGAAATGCTTGCATACTCTTGAATTTTTTTTTTTTTTTGGTGTAAAAAACACACCCTCCCCTCCCACCCCAAAAAACATCAAATTCCTTCCTTTTCCCCAAATCCCTGGATCTTGGAATGAAAGCCACTCTTCCCCACCCTGCCCTCACCTTCTTCAGCCCATCCAAGTTACGCACAAAAAAACAAAAATCAGTGAGAAATTTGGGGGTTTGCACAACAAAAAACTAGATAATATTTTCCAAAACTAGGTCTTCTATGGTGTATCAAAAAAGTTTCCTACAGACTGAGGATATTCACACGACAGGAGCCTGGGGGTTAAATGAGCCTTTATTAGAACGTTGTAGCAGTTGTGTTTGAAGGCGGCGGCCCTACAAAAAAAAATTTAAATTAAATCCCCTAACTGCATGGGTAGAAAAACCAGGGCTGGAGCTCAATTGAGACCGGTGGAACCCAGTCCTCACGGAGACACACGCATGTAAGTGGGCACGGGGACGCCCTTGCACTGTCATGAAGCCGGCCCAGTGTGCAGGAAACACAGAACGGCTTCTGCCTTTCCTCATGGATCCAGTTTTTAAAGAGTGGGACGGGAAAGAAACAAAAATGAAACTAAAAGCAGACCTGATCCTTTTAAAACATTTTTGTAGACTCTAAAGGGAGTTACAAAAAAAAAAAAAAAAAAGTCTGAAAGCAAATCCTGACAGCAACCCCTAGGTTTAAGGACAGGTTCTAAACTAGACCCAAACGGAAAACCTGAAGTCTGTGCGCAGCGGCTCGCCGCACACCTGGACGGCGCCTCCCGACCTCCACACACCTGTGCATGTTCACCTGCTAAGAACAAGGCCAGGGTGGCTTAAGATTTCGTCCATCGAAATGAATAGAAAAAAGGAAAGAATTTAATAAAATAAACCACAACAGAAAAACCCCGCAACAGTCCCCACTCCAGCTTCCTGCTCGGGGCTGCTGCCGACCGGATCCTCTCCTCCTCCCTTCACGGGCAGCTTCTGGCCTTCACGGGCAGCTTCTGGAATCCCTGCTTCTCTGGCTGGGTGTGTTCTTCAGTTTGTTCTTCTAAGTCTGGGAGGTCCGGGGGCGAGGGTCTCCAGAACAAGCAGCAGTGGAGGCGTTCAGCTGAAGCGAGGGCTGCCTCTGTCATCCTGCATCTGTCCGTCAGTCACTGGGGCTGACTGGCCATCCCTGCCAGGGGCTGTGGCACCATAAGCCGCCCACCCTCCAGGGCACAGGGCCAGCGGGACGACGCAGCGCACAACAGGGACCCCAGGGTCTGCACGGTTTACTTTTAACTCCATCATTATGAGGTGATTAAAAAAAAATCTTTCAACTTATAGATCGCCATGGGAAGGCAGTCAAAGATCGGGAGCCTAAGACGGGGAAAAGCAAAAACAAAACGAAACGCCCCGCTCGGTTCAGAAGCCCCGGGCGCTGGCCTTGCCCATGCGCGTCACAGTGTCCAGGGTGAGCCGCCCGTGTGCCGGCAGGGGCCGAACAAGGGGGCCGGGAGCAGAACCAACCCCCAAGGTCCACTTTTCTGCTGGTGTCGGGCAAACTAAAGGCAAAGAGAGAAAGGAAGAAAGCCCACGGGAAAGGTTCCCCAGCGATGATCCTTGTCCGCCTATAGGCGGCACCAGCCCCCCAGCCCTGATGAAACTTTGCAGCCAAGAATTGAGGTCTCGCCTCTGCAGCACGGCCGGTGCTTGCTCTTGGGACGGGCACGGTGTCTTCCCGAGCCAGCGGAGGGTGGTGCAGTGGGTCCTTCTAGACTGGGGGCCAGGTGGGGAAGGAGGGAGCCCGTCTTCCACGGGGCCTGGCTCACACTATTTCCACGTGGCTGACTGGGGGATGGAGCGGGGTGGGATCATGTCCAGGAGGTACTCTCGCTGGCGGTCCACGGCCGAGGAGCTCTTGTGCACCGCCAGGCTTGGGCTGACAAACGCAAGGGTCCCGCCTGCAACAGAACAGAGCAACCAGCCGAGAAGGCCCTCGTCAGGAGGACTCCTGGGAGGAACCCAGTCACAGGTGCCTAGACCCCAGCCCCAAAACACACTAAAGACCCAGGAGCCCTTGCGAAGCTGCCCACACTACTAACTCAATCAACGTTTCAAATCCCAGGCCCCAGAGCTAAAGAGTATTTAGGCAGCAACTCGATGGCCCTGACATTTCCAGGTTCTGCCAAGGTAATCCCAAGTGCAGGGCAATCATCAGAGGGTCAGCAGCCACCTGTGTTTACAGAAATGAAGGCACTGACCGCAGTGCTGCTTAGAACAGTGGAAAACCATAAACAAATTTGTGCAACAGGATAATAATACAGGATGGAATACTATGCAGCCATGAAAAACTATCTTAGCCAGGCGCGGAGGCTCAGCCTGGAATCCCAGCACTTTGAGAGGCTGGGGTGGGAAGATCGCTTGAGGCCAGGAGACCAGCCTGGGCAACACAGCGAGGCCCCATCTCTAAAAAAATATCAGCTGGACATGGTGGCACATCCCTGCAGTCCCAGCTACTCCAGAGGCTGAGGTGGGAGGATTGCTTGGGTCTAGGAGATCCAGGCTGCAAGTGAGCTATGATCATGCTACTGCACTCCAGCCTGGACAACATAGCAAGAAGTTGTCTCCAAAAGAAGAAAACAAAAAACAAAAACAAAAACAAAAACAAAAAAAGGAAAAAACCTATCTGCTACCCTCAAGTGTTTTTTTTTCTTGGTGGTGGTTGTTTTTAATTTGTAGAGATGAAGTCTTGTGGTTTGCATTATCTAGACTGGTCTCAAACTCCAGGCCTCAAGCAATCCTCCTGCCTTGGCCTGTCAAAGCACTGGGATTATAGGCACGAGCCACTGTGCCCAGCTCAAATTTTAATGCTTACAGAAAGGGTCTCTCATTAACACACAAAGTAGCCAACGCAAGGCACACATTTCCACAAAGGACCCTCAAGGGAAGAGGAGACACTGGGGCAAACCCATTGCCACAGTCTTTTCTCTCTGTATTTTCCAAATTTCCATGATGGACAAATATCACTTTTATAATTGGAAAATAAATAAATGCCCCCAACCCAGCACACGTAGGATTTTTGGCCAGAGGGTAAGGGCTGCCCCAGACCCCTTGAAATGGGGTCTCACTCTTGCCCAGGCTGGACTGCAGTGGCACAATCAGTGCTCACTGCAGCCTTAACCTCCCAGGCTCAAGCGATCCTCCTCCCTCAGCCTCCTGAGTAGCTGGGACCACAGACACATGCCATGTGCTTGGCTAATTATTTTTTTGTAGAGACAAGGTCTCACCATGTTGCCCAGGCTGGTCTCAAACTCCTAGGCTCAAGCAATCCTCCCATTTCAACCTCACAAAGTGCTGGGATTACAGGTGAGAGCCAGCACGTCTGGCCCTAAGAGTATTTTTAGTGGTGGCTAATACATCTTGTGGAAAAAGTGTTCCCAGGTCAAATGTTCTTAGGAACCATCCCTATGTGCAAGGGCAGCACTCCAGAAACCTGGCAACTGGGTGCTGCCAGGCACTCTCTCGAAACCCTCGGGGTAACTCTTTTAGGAAACAGTGCTTTCAACTATTTCTTTCAAACTTCAAACACATACTCACACACACGGCTTCCAGATGACTTCCACCACCGTGCCCACATGCACACACTTATCGACCTCTCCTTTTTTTTTTTTTTTTTGAGACGGAGTCTTGCTCGTTGCCCAGGCTGGAGTGCTGTGGCACAATCTCGGCTCACTGCAAGCTCCGCCTCCCGTTCACACCATTCTCCTGCCTTGGTCTCCCGAGTAGCTGGGACTAGACGTCTGCCACCATGCCCGGCTAATTTTTTGTATTTTTATAGAGACGGGGTTTCACCGTGTTAGCCAGGATGGTCTCGATCTCCTGACCTTGTGATCCACCCGCCTCGGCCTCCCAAAGTGCTGGGATTACAGGTGTGAGCCACCACGCCCGGCTAGACTTCTCCTACTTTCTTTCTTATACTTTCAAACTTCCCACAAGAGTAATTTCTGACCAGCCCGTGAGTCCTTAGCTGTCTTAAACCTGCTGAGCAGAACACCTGGCTGGCTCCTTTGATGACAGTACACTCAACTGTCCAGGCTGCCTGCATTCCTCTGCAGCTGAACATCTGCCCTCTCCTGAACTGCTCCTGCAGAACCTGGTGCCTGGGCACGCCCCTCACTTAGGACAGCGGCAGGCTCAGCAGACTCTCAGGCTCCCCCACTCTGCCTAGGATCTGTCTCATGACCGTCCTCTCCTACCTGCAGGGTCACAGGCTTCAGGGTGCATGTGGGACACTTTGGTTCCTCTCCCAGAGGGTGCCCATCTCCATAACTTGGCCCTTCCTGACCACCTTTTATTTCCCCATTTTTGGTGGACACAATAAATATTAAACTTTTGTTCTAATGTTAGCACATACGTGAGAAAATAAACAGGCCATCGGGACCATGCCAGGGACGGTGGGGCCGCAGCTGACTCAGGAGAGCCCACTCGAGGGCCTTCACCCCCACTGGTTGTTCTTCAAACACCGTCTCCGGCAAGGCCTCCACGACCTGCCCTAGGTGAGCCTGGCCCCTGCCCTGGGCGCACCCCCTGCCCCGCATTACTGTTCTACTCTGCACCACTCGGTGCGACCGCAGCATGGATGGCACAATGACAGAAAAAAGGATGTTCACTGCGGCACAAAGAGAAATGGGGAACCCTGAGCGGGCAAGACAGGGGTGTGTGCTGACAAGAGTCCATGTGGATGGCTGTGGGGGCACCCTCTGAACCAGGCCTGGCCCACATTTTGCGGGTCAAAGGCTGAGCCTGGGTGCAGAGAGTGAGGGTAGTTACTATTTCCTATCTGCTTGCGGCTGTCACTTCTTCAGGGTGTCCTGCTTAGGGGCGGGAGAGAAAGCCAGAGTCCGAGGAGGTCGAGCTTGGGAAGCGGGTCTGGGAAGCAGGCCTTCCTGTGTTTACCGGGTGCACATGTGCCTCTGTTTACGATAAGGAAGGGTGGACCCTGCAATGGGTAGGTCCCCTGGGGAGTCCTGCAGAGGCCACCCACCTGTGCTGAGGGGCGTCTTCTTCCAGTTGGAGGTGGCGCTGCCCTTGCCGGAGCTCACGGTTCTCTCGGAATGTCTGCCGGTCCTGCTGACCAGGGCTGTGGCCGAGGCTGAGTTCTGCAGTTTTGGTGACGGACTGAAGGTGTGCAGGACACCTCGGGGAGTTGTGGCCGAACCCCGGGAAAGCTGGCTGGAGGCCTGCAGTGGAGAGAGGGGGGCGACGGCTCACACAGGGAAAAAGACAGCAGCGGGCGAGACACTCAGCGCAGCCTCTCCTTGCTCTGGCTGACCTCTTCCCACCCACACGGGGTCCCTAAAGTCCAAAATCAGGAGACCAGGTAAGTTACACAGAGGGGTGGGGGAGGGGAGAGAGAGAAACAGAAACAGAGGGAGAGACAGATAGAAGAGGCAGCGTGACAGTCGGCGACTGACGTGGTCACGAGCTGCGGTGGGGGCGCGGGGCTCCCGGCGCCCGGCGCGGTTCTGACCTGTAGCACAGCCCCGTTACTCCAGTCGCGGGCCTCTCCTGAGCGGAACGCCAACTTACGCCGGGGTTTTATGACCTACACAAATGGGGGTTAAAAGCGAAGTCAGTGCCGTCCGCTGGCTGGCCCAGAGTGACCGAGGGGGAGCCCCACAGGACAGGCCCGTCCCTCGGGGACTTTAGGCGCCGCGTGGGGATCTTGAGGAAATGTGTGTAGTGAATTGCAAAGAACTTCCAAGAAGACAAAAATTGCCAAAAGGGAGCTTCGGGTCTACAGAGGGTGGGAAGGAGAAACATTAAAATAAAACAACACGAGAACAAAAAACTTGATTTCAAACTTGTTCCTCTCCAAATTTAGCAAGAACATTTCTTCCAAACGCCCCTTTGGTATCTCAACGTGGCTTTCAGAAAAGTCCTTGGAGACAAGCAGTACTTGTCAGCCGGCAGCCTGCGAGTGAGAGCTACAAAATCTAAAGACACTGCAAATTAGTGTTTTCGCCGCCCAACGCCACCATTAACTGCAATTTAGACGCGCAGTTAACAATCAGGCGGCGCAGTGAGGGTGTGGGGCGGATCGTGGAACGGCCTCTGCCTCCCAGGGTTGGGGCTGCCGGCAGCAGGCCAGGCTCACCTGCTTCAGCGCGGGGTGTGGGGCGGCGGCGGGCTCCGCCTTGGCCTGTGCAGGGGCCGCACCCTGCTGCAGGAGCCGCTGCTCAATCTCCTGCTCCTGCTGCAGCGCCTTCACGAAGGCAGCCTTCAGCCGGCTGGTGTGCTCCACCTTGAGCGCCTTCTTCTGGTTGGTCGTCATGCAGTTCTCACACATGATGGCGCCGCTCTTCTCCTCCCGCCAGCGGCACGTGAAGTCCGTCTTGCACTGTGCACATATGTAGGGTTCCCGGGACAGCACAGTGGCAGCCGACATCCTGCCTGCTGCAAGCAGACAGCACGTGGCTCACATCAGAGAGACAGGATGACAGTCAGGGCCCTGGCCGCCCCCAGCCCGGGATGCTGGAGCCTCAGTCGCCGCAGTCTGTTCGTTCTGCAACTGCCTACTGGGCACCAATGACATGTGGACATAGGGCCAGCCAAGGCCGAACAGCTTCAGAAAATGTCGGCCTCCTGTCCCACCCACCGCTGGACATGACACCACTGAGAACCAGCAAGGACCATGCCAGGCCCTGCCTCGATGTGGTGGGCACCCTAGGTTATGTACGAGTTAATAAGGGTGACAGGCAAGTCACCCAGCCAGTGCTTTGTGGCTGCTGAGGTGCTCAGTTCATTCTTAGGAGGGGGTACCCCCAAATGCCCCATGTCCTGAGGAGGAAACTGCCCCTGCCCTGGGCCCCTCACAGTCCTGCCCACTCCTCTGCTCTGAGGGTCTGATGCAGTCACCAGAAGAGGACTCAGCCTCCTGGCCTACTCGTGTCACCCCTACCTCAACCTGTGGGCAGAAACATCCTTGGTCTCCACATCCAGGAAGCAGGGGCTCCCTGGGGGCCGATTCGCCCACCCAGATCCACCCACCTGGCTATCTCCAATGCTGTGTTGATCACCCTGTAGATGCCCTTTTATTCTTAAATCCCCCAGGACAAGGTGCACTCCACACTGCCCCTGAAGAGGGTGATCGTGCGAGCCTGCCCAGGCGGGGGCAATGGGGTGGGCTGTCCCTCTCCCTCCTCAGAAGCTGGGAGCACTCGAAGCTCTGGAAGGTTCTGCCTGTGTGTCACAACCCCACACTGGTTTGAGAGCCCTTTGTGGAGGCCAACCCCGTCAGTCTCCCACAGATGTGCACCCTCACCTGTACTCCACCACACGCCAACATCATGGAGGCCACTACTGCCCGTCCCCCTGGGCCCTGAGCCTCTCAGGGCCTGGCTCTCAGACGCCCCAACCAGAGGACAGTGTCCAGACTCCACAGTGGCACTGATGGTGTTCCTGCCAAGCCTACCCAAGACCTTCCTGGCTAGGCAGCCCTGCCCCAGCCTCTGCTGTGTGTTGGAAAGAACCCAGGGGGCACCCTTGGAGGCCAGAGGCAGAAGCAACCTCACTGGGTCCAGGCCACGCACCTTGTGTCTCCAGTAGGTTCTGTACCACCTCCTCCAGGCCGACCAGGTAGATGAACTCGTTGTTGGCGGCACTGGGCAGGAAATTCATCTCTGGGGCTGGGGGCTTGGGTGGGGGGATCTCGAGTAGCGTCTTCTCCAGCTGTTTGCGCAGCGCCAGCTTGGCGGCTGCCTGTCGGCTTGCTGGAGACTCGGCAGAGGTGACCACAGAGGCCACGCTAGTGGGGGTGGAGCTGGCCTGAGCGGAGGTGGCTGTCGTCCCCTTCAGTGATGCTGGGGTGGGCTTTGGGAGACAAGAACTCAGTCAGGGCGCTCTGTGTGCCTGCCCAGAGGAATGTTCCCCAGCGCCCCCATGCCCGAGGTCCCTTCAACTGCACTGACTAACCAGTCCCCTTGACGATGGCATCCTTACGAAAGTGAACCCAGCCATGGTAACAGGCTCTTAGAAGCCAGGGCAGCAGGGAGAGCTGCGAGAAACACACCACCCTAGGAGGCGACTGCTCATCTGCACACGCACGCAAAGGTTTACCAGATACACCGCACACACTTAAAATCTGTAATTTGCCGCGCTCCGTCATGTGATTGTGAGGGCACCCACGTGGCTGTCACCAGCTTCTGGAGGTCACCACCCTGCCCAGCAGGGCCACTGTCCTCTGGCTACGGCCTGGCCTACTGCCTTCTCACAGGGTATGAGAGTGCTCACCGCAGCACCCCCATGAGCCTCTCTGCACGTGCTCCCCTGGGATGCTAATGTCTGAGGTAGTCCCTGAGTTCTTATGGGGTGATGGGGGAAGCAGCTCCTAGGCCAACCTCTTCCCTTCACCCTCCACCTAGTCCTCGCTGCTGCGGTGCCACTTCACAGTCCTGCCTGGATCCCAGAAGCAGACCCTTGACTATCTCCACCAACCCCACAACTGCTGGATGGGGCTCTCCCTGAAACCCAGAACTGACCACATGCCAATGTTCTTAGCTTTTGGGGGCTGAGGACCCCTCTGGAAATATGAGGAAAGCTGTGCACCCCACCCCCAGAAAATGGACACACCCAGTGACTTGCAAATGCCACACTGTGGGGCGCAGGGTGTCCAGGATGCCTTCCCAGGGTCCCACCCTACAATGAAGGCTCCCAGAGACCAGCCTGCCAGTTTTTTGGCCCCTCAGCAACTGAGACCAAACCCAGGCCTCCGTCACCCCTGACCAGCCAGTTCCCTTACTCCTTCCCCTCACAGCCTCCCCAAGCCCTGCTAGGAGCAGACCACCTTCTCTGCCACTGACTGCCTGTGCCCACCCTCAGGGCACAAAGACAACAGAAAGGACCGGATAAAAGTTCACGGGTGGGGCCGGGCGTGATGGCTCACGCCTGTAATCCCAGCATTTTGGGAGGCCCAGGCAGGCGGATCACGAGGTCAGGAGATGGAGACAATCCTGGCTAACACGGTGAAACCCTGTCTGTAATAAAAATACAAAAAAATTAGCCGGGCGTGGTGGCAGGCGCCTGTAGTCCCAGCTACTCAGGAGGATGAGGCAGGAGAATGGCGTGAACCCGGGAGAGGGAGCTTGCGGTGAGCCGAGATCGCGCCACTGCACTCCAGCCTGGGCGACAGAGCAAGACTCTATCTCAAAAAAAAAAAAAAAAAAAAGTTCACGGGTGGGCAGGATGTGGTGGCTCACACCTGTAATCCCAGCACTTTGGGAGGCCAAGTCAGGCAGATCACTTAAGGTCAGAACTTCAGGACCAGCCTGGTCAACATGGTGTAACCCTGTCTTGACTAAAAATACAAAAACTAGCTGGGCATGGTGGCAGGCGCCTGTAGTCCCAGCTACTCGGGAGGCTGACGCAGGAGTATCTCCTGGGAGGTAGAGGCTGCAGTGAGCCAAGATCGCACCACTGCACTCCAGCCTGAGCAAGAGGAAGACACTTGTTTCAAAATAAAGATATTTGATCACACCACTGTACTCCATCCAGCCTGGGCAACAGAGCAAGACTCTGTCTCCAAAAAAAAAAAAAAAGTTCACAGGTGTATGAAACTACCTGCCTGGGTCAGTCCAGGACTAGCCATCTTCTCTACACTCGAACCTGACCTTCAAAAGCAGGCAGGGACACTGCTCAGAGTCTCGCTCTTGTCTGAGGGCAGGCAGGCAAGAACAAACCGTGCCAAAGAAGGAAGAAAGAGCAAACACGCGCAGCAGCAAAAGCCCCTGCGGACCCGGTAATTTTATCTGTCAGCCAAGGCGCCTGTTTCCAGCCTGCTCGCCCCTTGGTCCTGCTCTTCCCATCCTACTTTCAGGGGGTGGAGACAGACCCTCCCCATCTCAGAGGCTCTGTACAGAGGTGAAGGGACGTGTGGCTAAGAATAGGCGCGCCTGGTGACATGAGAACATTTGCTGAGGAGGCGATCGAAAGAAGCCACTGCTGGGAGGGCGGCATGGGCTCCAGGGCACCCCAAGGCATCTCCGGGCCCATCACCGGCCTCTCCTGGGCCTCGACTATCCCCCTAAACCTGCTGTGTGCCACGTGCTGTTTCCTCGGCCATGGGGCTGGTGAGCAGACCCCACCTTCAGCTCAGGTCGGTGCACTGCCCCTCTCGGCAGCTGCCCACCTGTGCTGGATAGCAAGTCTGCCCACGACCCACACAGCCCTATTGCCCCTAGGAGCTCAAGTCCAAGCCCCTGCCTGGCTCTGAGGGAGCAAGGCAGGTCATGCCACACAGCCCGGGGAGACACTACTGTGCCCCAGAACCTGGGTCCAAGGGGAGCAGTCACAGGTGGAACACACACTCTCCCTCACCCGGTGTGGCGCAGCCCTCACCTGTGGGATGTTGACGAGCAGGCTGGTGTTGGGAACATTGGCGACGCGGATGAGGCCCTGCTGGATGATCCTCTGTCCCTGAATCTGCACACTGGGCACCGACGCCCGGGGGGCCAGGAGGAGGGGCGGTGGCCCTGTGCTGGAATGTTGCCTAATGCTGTGGATTTGCTGTTGGGGTAGGGTGGGAAGAACAAGAAATCTGACTGAGATCAACAATGGAAGGGGACCGGAAGGCACAGGCACCTTGGCCCCAAGGACTGGGAAGGGCCCTACTTTCAAGGTAGACAACTGCTGAGGCTGCCAGGTCTCCCCAGTGTGCACAGCTCTGCTTACCTGGGCCCCCCTGACGAGTGGGGGCATGACGACCTGCGAGCTCGCCTGTGGCCCCAGCTTCGAGGATGCCTGCTGCCCACCTCGGACCAGGGGCGGGGGTATGACACTGCCGGGCATCCGAGCTGAAGAGGTCTGCCAACGACACCAAGACCCAGATTTACATGGACCCCTCCCGCCCTTTTTTTTTTTTTAAAGCAAGCAGTTTTACTGCTTTTATGAAAGTACATACAAGTTTTTTTGGTTTGGTTTTTTTTTTTTTTTTAAGTAGCAGAAAAGTTAAAAAATAAAATTATGGATGGGTGCAGTGGCTCACGCCTGTAATCCCAGCACTCTGTGAGGCCGAGGTAGGCAGATCACAAGGTCAGGAGTTTGAGACCAGCCTGGCCAACATGGTGAAACTCCATCTCTACTAAAAATACAACAATTAGCTGGGCGTGGTGGCACATGCCTGTAGTCCCAGCTACTCAGGAGGCTGAGGCAGGAGAATTGCTTGCACCTGGGAGGCGGAGGTTGCAGCGACCTGAGATCGCGCCACTGCACTCCAACCTGGGTGACAGAGCAAGATTCCATCTCAGAACCAAAAAAAAAAAAAAGATTTAGCTAGCTAGCTGGCTGGGGGTGGTGGCTCACGCCTGTAATTCCAACACATTGGGAGGCCAAGGCGGGTGGATCTCTTGAGCCCAGAGATTTGAGAACAGCCTGAGTAACAGTGAAACCCCATCTCTACAAAAAACAGAAAAATTACCCAGGCATGGTAGTGTGTGCCTATAATCTTGGCTACTTGGGAGGCTGAGGCAGAAGGATGGCTTAAGTCTAGGAGGCAGAGGCAACAGTGAGCTGAGGTCGTGCCATTGCACTCCAGCCTGGGTTACAGAGCAAGACCCTGTCTCAAACAAACTAACAAGGCGAATGTGTAACACAAAATTAGTAAAGATGACTACTGATTCTAAACACTGGAACAAGGACCAGGACTCCAACCACAGCCGTGCGAACCTGGGCTCACTCCTGAGTGAGTCCCACCAACACGGCAGTTCATTCTCACATGACACTGGCCGGTCCATGGCAGGATGGGCATGGTCACCCCCTAGAGCAAGTTGGGGGCTCAGGCCTGTTTGAGAGGGAGGGGCAGGAGGGCCTCTTCCGACCTCAGCCATATGGCTGGGAGAAAGACTCTGCCCCTCACCTGGAGGCCCTGGAAGAAGGCTCTCTTGGCCAGAAGAGTCAACATGAAGGGAGATCAGACTTGCTAGAGGCACTCACTGGAAGGCCCCCTTCCAGTGTTGGCCATGATTTCTGTCTGTGACATCAACAGCGGCCTACTTTGGGCCGTGGGGCTTGGAGAGTGCATGTATGCTTTTTCCCCTGGGCTGTGGACTGGAGGGGGCCTCACTCCAGCCTACTCCGAAGGAAAGGGCAACCTCTTGCAGAACCTGGACCAGGGCTGTTTGGGAGCCCAAGGAGCCTATTCTTGACAGCAGCAGTGCCGGCAGGGCACCCACTGAGACACAGCAGGGACACTGACCTGGAGCGATGGCTTGCCAGCAGGAATGTTCTGGGTGCCCCGAACAAGCGGGGGAGGGGTGGTCACGGCACTCCCGACAGAACCTGTGGGCTGCAAGAGAGCAGGACACCAGGAGGTGAGGGGCCACCTGGCCCTCTCCCCACATGGAGGCGCCAAGATTTAATGCTGCCACCGAGGACTGACTGTCTTCCTCCCCTACGGCATCAGGCTCTCAGAGGTTCTGCTTGAAGGCTGAAAGTGACCCTGTCTGCGGTAGGAGGTGACAATTTCTACATGGGCCTAGAAGAGATTTTCCAGGAGCCCCACCCACTACTCTCGGCATCACTTCTTGGCCACTCCCTGACACCCATGCAGTGTCCTGGCACCCACTTGTGCCCTCCAGGGGACAGAATGGCTGATGGCGGCAGTGCCGCTGAGGCAAAGGACCCATGGCCCAGGCAGGGAGATATCAATCTCAGTGAGAAAACAGTGACTCTGGGCACTTTTTAAAGCTGCATGTTCCACTAAAGAAGGGTCAGTGACAGACTTGGTGTCCCTCAATGAGTTTTTGGCAAGTGACAAAGAAATAGAAAAAAGAAACAGGCAGGGCTCTTTCCAATCCACTTGCTAATTGGGTAGGTGTGAGGTGTGCGGGGGGGCGGGGTTTCAAAAAACAAACCCCCAAGCTAGAGCAGGGAGAGTCCTGTTCTTCCTTCAGCTCCTGCTGCCCAGGACACACTTACTTTCTGGTTCACTGAGGCAATTACTAAAGTACTAGGAAGGTAGGAGTTTCCCAGAACAGAGCACTCAAAAAGCCCAACAAAATAAACTTAACCTCGCTGCTCATTAACCTGCATCTAGAAGCAGAGCAACAGTGAGCTTCAGGCTCCAGGGAAGAAGGAACAGAAGCAGGACCCTCCTGAGAGTTGGGGCTGAGATCCATGGCAGCTCAGCACACGTCCAGCTGGGAGGGGACTGAGATGCACACAGCAGGAGGGAGGACAGTAGAGACTGGGGCATCCTCTGCGCCCACAGTGCGGGCGGCCTTTCTGCACAGAGCCCTTCACCCAGAAACATGCTTCCAGTGGCACCAGACATCTGTGCTCCACTTCCCTGACACCTGTTGTCCAAGTGAGGTTTAGGGCGGGCGCGGTGGCTCATGCCTGTAATCCTAGCACTTTGGGAGGCCCATGAGGGTGGACCACAAGGTCAAGAGATCAAGACCATCCTGGCCAACATGGTGAAACCCCATCTCCACTAAAAATACAAAAATTAGCTGGCTGTGGTGGTACGTGCCTGTAGTCCCAGCTACTCAGGAGGCTAAGGCAGGCCAATCACCTGAACCCAGGAGACAGAGGTTGCAGTAAGCCAAGGATTTGTGTCACCGCACTCCAGCCTGGGTGACAGAGAGAAACCTTAAAAAAAAAAAAAAAAAAAAAAAAAGTGAGCTTTAGACCCTCAGATCCAGATTACTCTAGACTGAAATTCACTTTAACATCTTCTAAGCTAAATCCAAAATGCACACTGGAGTCCACAAACGGGGGAGCGGGACCTTGCCCTATACTCCCTCAAGGAAGCCCTTTCACCTTTCTGGCCCCTGACATTGATGATGGGATCAAGGCAAGGCCAGAGGCTCCTGCTGGCCCAGCGAGGAGGGGAGACAGGCACGCACCTTCTGGGCGGTGGCTTCCTTTTGTATCTGACTCTGCCGCAACTTTTTCAACAAAACGAGTTTTGCTTCTTCTAACCTCAACTCTTCTTTCAGCTGTTTGATCATCCTTTCTCGTTCTTCAGGACTGCTTTTCTGCAGGGGCGAGAGGAACAGGGTTGAGGGAGAGCGTCCTTGGTGGGAAGCAGAGGCCCTGCCGTCACTAGCTCCACCCAAGGGCGCCATGAGTGGGAAGGGCACAGTGGGGCTCTGGCGGCAGTGCCACCACATGGCTCACCATGAGGGCCTCGGTGCTAGTCTCCTTCAAGGCCACCGTAGTCAGCCCATTCACTCTCGGGCTCGAGGGCTGCTCGTTGTCGGACAGCACAATCACATCGGGTGAGGGAGGTCTCCGCTCGGATTTCATGTCACTGTGGGGTGGAGACAGTAGTAACCAGAGTGCCCTTGACAGCTGTGCCCACCCCTGTGGACACATGGCAGGGAGGTGAGACCTCCCTGGCTGCTGTCTGCCCTGCATCTTCCACATCCCCAGCCCCACCCCACGGCACCTGGGCTGCCTCCTTCTTCTCACCCACACATCATAGGGCACCCAATCCCAGTGCCCAGGTGGGCACCTTGATGGTAGGGACTTCTTAGTGCCTGCCGCCATGTTGCCAGGGCTGAGGGTGTATATGCCCCTGAGAGTGACATGGTGACTCTGGAAAACATGCCGCTCCCTCTACCGTGTGCCTCGGATTGTGTAAACACTCGGCTCTGGATCCTGGGGTCCTGCTCAGTGTTAGCTACTGTGGGGGCTTGAGCATGCTGGGTCTGATGGCACGTGTGTGCCTCGTCCCCAGCGGCAGTCCGTGCCCATGGTGGAAACCCCTTGAAGAGGAGCCCAGCTCCCTGTGTGAACCATTTTCTTCTCTCTCCACCCAGGCAGGCCAACAGCCCTCACACCTGGCAACCAACCTGTCCCCAGAAGACCAAGAGGTGTATCCACAGGCTGCCAGCTTGCTCACAAGGTGGCACCAAGTGCTAGATGGCCCTTCTTGGGCCCCACGTGGCAGCAGCAACTATCTGTTTTGAAACTGACTAGGACACAAGTTCTCTCAAAGACCAGAGACTCTCTACCGGCCTGATCTACTCATGGACTGGTTTCTGGCTGGCTGCCTCCAGCTCCACGTGGATGCCAACATCATTCTGCCTGTTACCCTGCTGCCCACTCCATAAGTTCCAGCTCAAAATTGCATCATGAGACAGTTCATCATGATTCCAGCCCTCACACCTTTTTCTTTCTAATGAATTTGCCATGGTCTGGGGAACTCACTTCTACCTGTGAACTTGACCTGAGGCCTGTTCCTCCCCTTCTCACTGTCGGCCCACAGCATCTCACTACCAGCTGAGAAGCACCAGGGGACAATCGGGGAAGTACTTGCAGGCTTTCCTTTTTTGTTATTTTGTCAAAATACAGTCACAAACATCTAAGAGTGTGGCTGATGAGCTGCTGTTATTCATCAGAACCAGGAAACAGTAAATATTCATTCTGTGCTAACTGCAGGCCAGGCTCCAAGATAAGTGCGCGTGGCACCCACGTCATTTGACCCAGGCAGGAACACATCAGTCTGATTTTCCCCTTCCTGTGAACGATCCTGTCTGTTGTATGTGTACAGCTGACACTACTGAAGGTGCAGGGCTGAACACCTGCTGTGGTGTTGCTGACCCAACGCAAGTCCCAAAGACAGCACTCGTTCCCAACCAAGCAGCTCCATTTGCTGACGGCACAAGGCAAACTGTCCCTGAAGATCTGGGTTCATTGTACTTCTTTTTTTTTTTTGAGATGCAGTCTCGCTCTGTTGCCCAGGCTGGAGTGCCGTGGTGCAATCTTGGCTCACTACAACCTCCACCTCCCTGGTTCAGGCGATTCTCCTGCCTCAGTCACCTGAGTAGCTGGGATTACAGGCATGCATCATCACGCCTGGCTATTTTTTTTTTTTTTTTTTGGTATTTTTGTAGAGACAGGGGTTCACCATGTTGGCCAGGGTGGTCTTGAACTCCTGACCTCAGGTGATCCGCCCACCTCAGCCTCATTGTACTTTGATCCAAGTGAATCAAGTCCGGTTTTCTGTCAGCAGGAAAGCCAGCCAAGGACAGAACGCATCCTCTAGGTGGCACTGTGACCCAGGGAACAAACTCGGACAAAGTTAACTGGGAGCTGCAGCTCAAAGTTGTCCGGGCTCTCGCTCTGCCTGGGTCCAGTTCATAACTAGACCCCGGCAGGGTTGAGGAGCGTCGCTAGGATGAAGGACCTGGCTCTGCTCTAGCAGCCCTCGGGACCTCTGAGGTCCCCTCCAAGCCCAGGAGCTGCGTCCTCAGGGAATGGTGGACACAGAGCACCAGAGGCTAAGGCTTCACCAAGGCTACCCTGGACTCACCAGATGCCGGACTCAGGAACCGCTTTACTTGCTCTCCTCTTGTCCCTCCTAATTCCACCCACCAGAGCTACGTGGCGGCTGTACCTGAACGCTGGTCCTAGCCCTGATCAACTAGGTTCTCACCAGAGACCTGGGCATGGACAGAAAGGTACGATTTCGAAGTATACAATCCCCCAGGCAAGGGGTTATCAGCCCACATTCTGAAGCCCAGAACTGGGTAGCTTGTTTCTAAAGTAACCCAGGACACCTCACTCAGGTCTTAGCAAACCGCCAGCATGTCTCTCCTTGCTGCCGGCCCCATGCCGCCCAAGATCGACTTTCAAGGTGACCTCAGGGCTCTAATTCCAGGCTCCCTGGATGTGTACACACACTGAGCACCTCAGAGGCAGGTGGTCCCAAGGCTCCAGCACAGAGCTGCAGCAGCTGGCCTCTACCCAGGTGGGCTCCAAAGTGAACAGGGTAGCGGGGGCCCAAGGCAGCATCCCGTATAGAGTTACAGACACACTTCCTGGGCCAGCACGAGCTGAAATGAAATGACAGCCAAGCTCTAAGGGACTTAACACTTCTTATCATCTTATTGAGGGCATAAGGTTCTTCCAGAGGTGAGACGTCTAATAAAATTCAAATCTGCCTGAGGGAAGAGGACAGGCAAAGGGTCCAGACCACCTAGTAGCTGAAGCTGCCTGAGTGGGCTGCTCTGACCACAGTGCTTCCTGGCCCCATCTTGGCTTGCGACTAATCAATAACTCATCCAAGAGATGATGTCACCACCCATCAATGATCACTCAGCATCCCAGCAGCCAGCAGGGAGTGAACTTCCTGTATGCTAATCAGGCCACCAAAAAGTCATGTGACAAAGGCATTTCCCTCCTTGGTCACATGACCCTTTAACTGTGCCTTCCAACGTGAAAACCATGGCAACGGCCAGTTCCAACCGGTTTGTGACACGCAGCCTTCATTTTGAGAAGGGAGGTAAGGGTTCAGGTGCTGTCAGAAAATGGAGGCGCCAGGCTCACCCCAGGGCTGTGGAGCTGCAGGCACTTCCTGTGTGGCGCCGGCCCACAGGGGACTGTTGCTGCACCACAGGCTCCAGTCACCTCTACACACACCGCACACGGGCCCCTCTTAAGTTTCTAAAATGAAAAACTTTGTTAAGCTCACTTTTTAAAGGAGAGGGGCTTTAAGAGTCTCAGGACTTTTTAAAATAGTTAATTCAGGAAAAAAGCATGTGGCTCAAAATGATCGTAGGCATTATTTCAGGGAAAAATTTAATTATGAAAACTGCCTGAAGTAAATAAAAGCAGTGGAAACCTAGCCCAGCATGCTGGGAGGGATGGCATCGTGGCCCAGGGACAGCGTCTGCCATTCACTCTACAGCGGCTGTCCCAGGCACCAAGTTTATTTGGAAGTGATGTGGTATTTCAGGACAAATCCCATAAGCCCGTCCTGCCCATCTTGAGAAGCCTTAATGTAAAACACACTGATCAAGAGATTTTATGTGACCTACAAAAATCCCTGGAAGCAGGCCAGGATGTTATCAGCGTAAATGGTCTCACCCGCTCCCTGCCACGCACCACCCATACTCCCCCACCCGCTGGCACCAGCCCTGACCTCACAAGCACAGAAATTCTGTTACCTGCCAGGAACTTCCATAGAACTTCCTGGAGGAGAGGCCGGGATTATAAACTTAAATCGAGACACGATCCCACTTCCACAGCACAAGGTTATGGCTTTCAGCTGCCCAGCAACCAGCAGCCAGTACGTGGTTAATATTTAGTGTTCCCTCAGCCAGTGCCGGGAAGGAGCCGTCCTTGGAGGCTGGGACCTTTGTGGTTCTCTGAATGGGCCTGCCTGGTATGCAGGGAAGGCACGCTTCATCCCCCTCTCCCTCATTCATTCATTCATTCATTCATTCCTCACTCACATCTGCTGAGAGCTCATTTAAAAAGTAGGTGCTGCAGCAGGCAGTGGGGAGGAACCCCTGGATAAAAGGAGGCTCTATCCTTAGGGTTCAGTCTACCAGGTAGGACAGACACAAAAGGGAAGGGGCAGGTGGGGGTGAGGCTGTAGGTGGGCTTGGGGCTGGCCCCGTGAATGTCTGACCACCGCTGTCACAGCCACAGCAGCAGGGCAGCTTCTCCGGAACTTGTATAAATGCAGCGTGTCCTCCTTGCCCCAGACCTGCTTGATCAAAGTCTGTATTTCAGCAAGATCCCAAGTCTTGCACACACTAGGGAAGTTGGGGATGACCATGACCTGTGGCCCAGTGAGGCCTCAGGATAAGAAATCCTCCTCCAGGCTGGCTCAGGGAAGACAGGCAGGGCCCAGCAATGCCTTCTCCAGCCACATAACCATTTCCCGCTAGAAGCTTTCCTCCTCACCTCTTTCAGGCCTAGCAGAGTGGACTGCTGGCTGTGTGTAAAGGTGGGATGAGGGCTTTGCTAGAGCCAACACCAGTCCTGCCAGCCCACTTGTCCCTTATGCAAACACTCATCTTGGGCTCACCAGGCCCTACCCGACATGAACCAAGCTGTTAACATCCCCTGCCCTGAGGCCTGGCCCACAGACATGGCCCGGCATGGCCGTGTTCTGTCTACAGAACATCCCTCTTCAACACGCCTCAGGAAGCCTGCCCGGCCCTGTCCCCCTGCCCCGAGGTGAAGGTCATAGCAGAACTTGGGGTTCTACTTGGGGGACTGCAGGTCTAAGCAGAAACCCCCCAGCTTCCCAAGAGGGGCTGGCTGGTGGGTTTCTGTTCCTTAGCCCCCCAACAGCCCAGTGACTGGCCCACCCACCCTCGGCCCAGCAAGCCTGTCTAAGTGCCTTTGGTTCCCTGCACCGCACCCCACCCCACCCCTGTGAAGATGAGCCCTCCCTCCCCCCGCCTTGCAGGGTGACATGTCAGCACCTGTCTGACAAGCAGGTTCCTGCACCCTGAGCTGGGGGCCATCATGACCTCCTTCAGGTGGGTGTGGCACCGGCACAGCACCCAG